TGCGGCCATAATTCTTACCTTCAGTTCATCTTTGGTGTTACAAGAAGTTTTGTTGGTCTCCCGCTCAATTGCTCCCCACACATAATAATAATCAAGGGGGTGCAGTCTGGGGAGTTAGGTGGCTAGATGTAAGTAAGCAGTGATGTGGTCACAGAAATTGTCTGACAGCCATGACTAGGTCCTCCTGCTTGTGTAACATGGTGCAGAGTCCTGGTGTCTGACATAGAGTCTTCCAGCAGTCATCATCTTGACCCAGGGCAATACTAAATTCTCAAGGTACTTGATGTAGAACTTAGTGTTGAGTCTGAGGCCCTGTGGGAAGATGAATGAAGACATAAAGTTGCCATCACCCCCAAAACACCTTTGTACCCACCATTAAAATCATCTAAGTCTTTCCGAATCCTCTGCGCTGTCTTTAGGTTGACACCCAAACTCTCTGAAATATTCATATTGGATCTTCTGGCGCGAATGCCAAGCAGTACAACATACCGTATTCAAATTTCTGACGGAATAAATTGCGTCATAGTGATCTTTTTGTCAGAGACGGTGACCAACTGATTCTACTATGCTGCGCAGTCGACAAAATAAAAAACAAAGAACGTGCATGCGCGAAATTAAAAATATAAAATGGCGACAATTTACTCATCCCCCACACTATATATATATATATATATATATATATATATATATATATATATATATATATACCCACAAAGATCCAAAGTTTTGGTACAACCAACAGAAAGCCTGCCAGGAGATCGAAAAGAAAACTTAAATAGAAATAAAAATGACTAATAAGAAAAGTAAAGAAATCATATACGCGAAGAACAACAAAAAAAAGGTCAAAAGGTTGACGCTGACATAAACTGCTCTATGATATGCTATTAAGACAAAACGCCATACCTAGCTACATATATATATATATATATATCAATGAATACGACAGACAAGATGCTTTGATTTATTTTTTAATACAATTTCTCATGTGATCTAATAATTTCTTCTTTTCGGATGATAAATATGAAAACTGTCCAATTGTTCTTTTTATCCGAACGCTTTCGGCTATACATTTAGCCATTTTCAAAGTTGAAATATATTAACTGTTAACAAGAAATACTTTGTTGTATGTATGTATTTATATAATGAAAATGAAAACATTGTATAATTACATAAATACATTTAGCATTCTTTGGATTAACATCCTTCTTGGAATTAATCCCTACCTGACGCAAATTGTCCACTTGATTACGAGGATAACCATCTCCTCTCTCTCTCTCTCTCTCTCTCTCTCTCTCTCTCTCTCGCTATATATATATATATATATATATATATATATATATATATATGGGAAAATAATATTTTTGGCTCTTAAAACTAGAATTGCTTTTAAAATCTCTCTCTTTCTCTCTCTCTCTATCTGCGGGAAAATAATATTTTTGGTTCTTAAAACCTAATTGCTTTTAAAATCTTTCTCTCTTCTCTCCCCCCTCTCTCTCTCTCTCTATATATATATATATATATATATATATATGGGAAAATAATAACCAATTGCTTTTAATCTCTCTCTCCTCTCTCTTTCTCTCTCCTCTCTCTCTCTCTCTCTCTACATATATATATATATATATATATATATATATATATGGGAAAATTGGCTCTTAAAACCAATATATATTATATATATATATTATGGGGTCAGTTACAAGTACGTAGACTCTAAGGAAGTCCTACTTCGAGACTGTATATATCTATCTGTATTTGCTACTAACCGGCGTTCCTGGATTTTACTAACAGCATTACCTTTTGTATTTTGTGTAAATACATTTAATTTCTTAGCTTAAATACTTGCGTTTGTCATTTATTGGATACCTATTTTTCACGCGGGATCCACAACAATATATGTGGGAAAGTAATATTTTTTTATTTATCAAGGACAATTTTAGGGAAAAACTGACAAAGTGGATTTTTTTTCTCGTCTGACGCGGCGTTTCGTCCTTTAGTACTTCATCAGG